AACGTCCACAAATACCCCCATCAAACATGAGAAAGAGATCAGAAGGCTTGCAGAAGCAGTAATGTTGCCCAACAAGTTAGCTTTACTTAAGTGTAAAGGTCACAACGCAGAAAACAACTACTTGGCTTGGGGTAACAATGCAGCGGACAAAGCAGCTAAAGAGAAGGCAGGATATACACCATGGTATCAAATGCTTGTCTTAAAATCCGCTGACTTGCTGCCCGCAATAACAGATGAGACGCTTAAAGAAGCTCAAGAAGCGGGGTCTCCTCAAGACAAAAAACTATGGTCAAACCGGGGAGCTACCAACAAAGAGGGGATATGGTACTCCCCAGATGGGAGACCGGTTATACCCCCAGAGTGGATAAGATCCATGCTTAAAGAAGCACACGGCCCAACGCATTGTGGTAAAACTCAGATGAACAGGCACCTGACCCACTGGTGGCACCCATACCTACCAGACATGATAGCAAATCACCTAGAAGAGTGTGTAATTTGCTTAACCCATAACATCAGAGCCACTGTGAAACCACACCAGGGAAAGTTTCCTTTACCTAAGATGGCAGGAGAAGAAATCATCATTGACTACACTGACATGATTGACAAAGTAAGAGGATTCAGATATTTGTTAGTAGTAGTAGATGGATACACAGGTTGGCCAGAAGCTATCCCTTGCAGAAGAGAAGATGCAGACTCAGTGATCAAATTCCTAGTCACGCATTACATTCCATTACATGGATTTCCTAGGAAAGTGAGGTCAGACAATGGCAGCCATTTCAAGAACCATGACCTACGCACAGTAGAAGAGTCCCTAGGACTAAGACACAGTTTTGTAGCAGTTTATCATCCACAGTCTCAGGGAAAAGTGGAAAGGATGAACCAGAACTTAAAACAAAAACTCAGCAAAGCATGTGAAGAGACGGGCATGAAATGGGTAGACGCATTGCCTCTGGCTCTTCTGTCAATCAGGAGCTCCATTAACAAAGGGACAGGTTTCTCTCCATTTGAGCTCACTTATGGTCACCAGTTCCCAGGTCCAGGAGCCCTAAGTGTAGGAAAGGAAGTAGAGGTTCTGAGTTCGAAACCATACTTCCAGCAACTTAAGGGATTAGTGGCAGATTTTTCCACCCAGGTTGCAGAGGCAAAAGGGGGACCCGAGAAACACGAAGCGAACACTGCGGAGTTCGTCTGGCTGAAAGCGATCAGACCCAAGTGGCTGAGACCCAGGTTCTCTGGACCCCATCGGGTGATGCAGAGGACATCTCACGCTGTCCGCTTGGAAGGGAAAGGAGACATCTGGTACCACTGGAATCAGTGCGCAGTGGGGAAACCTCCGGGAAGGACCCTAGACGACATCATCACGGACGTGGTCCGCGCAGAGGAGGAGGAACCAGAGGACAACACTCCTATCACCGACCCAGAAGTCGCCATAAGCGGGCGGGCTGAAGAGGACGGCGAGGAACGGCCCTGAGGGAACGAGGCAGAGCGGGGTGGATCAACGCTTCCAGATGGCGTCGGTCTCCTCCACCGGAGGCTGGCGTGTGAAAGCTGTCATCATCCTCCTCGTGCTGGGCCTGCTGTACCTGTCCAAGGTAGCCCCGCTTGATGAAGCTGTGACCATTCCAACGACAGGTGGCCCAGACTCTGAGGGCAAAATCACACCAACGGGCCAATCAGTGCCTAGCGACAAAGACAGGTTGTTTCCAATCACCACACTAACATTCAGTACAATGAGAGAGAGACACAGAGAGAGAAGAAGGAGGAATGCCCCTCTCTCTGCTCACGAACCACAGAAGATTTCTTTTGACTGCCCAACTGCAATATGTAACTCACCAAACTGTGTTATTACGTACCCTGTGTTTTTAAGCAAGGGTGGCGACTACACGGTGTGGGAAGCGTATCCAGGGACGCAGTATCAGGAGTTCCGGGTCTCGTCAGGGATGGTAAGAATAACACTCAACACCATTGCAAATATGCCCCCAGAACTGTGGTGTAGCACGGCAGAACAGTTAAAATATGAGTCCCAGTGCACGGCACGGAAGCCAGATTACAAAGCTCCCAATTCGGGGGTCACTGGATGTGCATTTATTGAACCAGAGCATGAAACAGATTTTTCTAATTTAGGGGTCGCCGGACACGCCTCTATTAGAACATATATTGAACCATATCATGAAACAGGTTCTCCGGAAAAAGCCCTAATATCCACTCCACTTAAACAAACAGGAGAGGATGTAGATTCTTCAAAAAAGGCCTTAATCGCTCCACCTAAACTAACTAAAACCAATTCGGCAATGAGTTTAATGTTAGACTATGCACATGAACGCAATGTTAGCAACTGTTGGCTGTGCCAAAACATGCCAGAATCCGTACATTCTCCCATGTTTAGCCCAATTCCTTTCACGAAAGCGGACTACGGTTTAGTTAGCTGGAATGACATAGCATCCCGCATTGGAGATGAGGCCGAGGATTGTTACACTCCTTCGTATCCAATAAACTCTGAGAAACCTCTACAATACAAGGGTTTAATCTCGCTCATTGTTGAGACAGTAAATAAGGATTACCTGCCAGAGGGGTTCAAACAGTTGACGGTCCTAAGACTAATATATGTGAAGAAATATATTAACCTAGCTTTTGAATACAGATTCCAATTAGCTCTAGCCCAGACTAATTGCTCGGTTAACTTTACCAGTCCAATATGTACACTGCAACCACACACTCCATCTTTATTAGTTGAGGCTTTGGTAACAGTAGTGCCCTGGTTCGGCTCCAGAACAGTGGACTCAGTTGAGGTTAAAATACATGACTGTTCGCAGCCATTACCCTTAGGTAAGTCCCCTACCCGTGACTGTTCTGTCTATGTTCCCCCAGTTGTAGTACATGAGTGGAAGAATGTGTCCATCTGTTTCCAGAATGAAAGAGGATCTCTTACCTCTCCAGATGTGGGCCACAGCGACTGTAATACCGTAATAAAGGTGCAGTTAGCCAGAACGCCCCTCCCGCAGAGGGTTTACTTAGTTTGTGGGGACCGAGCCTATGGCTGTATGCCTTATGACATTTTCTATGGCACCTGTTACCTGGCCTATCTAATCCCTTTAATCCGTAAAGTGAAGACTGATGAGATTGCAGCTATACTTCCCTCTCTACATAGAAACAGCAGGTCGATTACAGAAGGACAGCGGATGGCTAGTCTATTTTTACCATGGTACGGTATTTATGTTTCTCAGCAGGAAATTGTGGCGTTGTCCAAAGTAGTGGAAAATCACTTAAATGCATCTAACACAGCCATGTTAGCCGAACATAAGGAATTACAGGAGGTTAGGACTGTAGCATTACAAAATCGTATGGCACTGGATCTTTTATTAGCCGCCCAGGGGGGCACATGCAAGGTGATTGGATCTGAGTGTTGTTCTTTCATCTCTGATGCTACACCTGAGGTCATGGATATGGCTCATGATACCGCCAGGGGGATAAAAGAGTTGCATGAAACTCATGGGTTTACCCTTGGGGATTTAACTGGAACTTTTGGATCGTGGGGTGCGGGGTTGGTTAAATTTGCAGTGACCGTTTCAATGTTTATCTTAGTGTGCTAATTGTGATAATCTGCTTGGTCACTGTAGTTAAACTAGCCATACGAAAGATGACCAAAACCGCCCTCCAGGCTCCACAGAGACTAGTGGGATATTCCACAGTGGATGACTCCGTGTTGATGTACGACGCCCAGCTTTCAGATCCGTGGGGCACAATCACGGCTTCTGCTCCATGGGGACCCCCACAAAATGAATGACAAGGTTGATTAAAATTGACACTCAGAATGTAGAAGATGTATATAGATTTTACCTTTTCGGGTTTTTACACTACGCAATAAATGTCTGATTCTTCTTTTTCAGATTTTTAAACAATGTATTTGACTAAAATGAATGTATAGATAAGTGCCTTACTTTTGACTAAAGCGTAGTGAAGTAATGTTAAAGCTTGAGGACACTGCAATTTTGCAGATTACGGATTAATCGAATCACCACTGTGAATGCTATACTTTGAACTGTGAATTTCAACTGGACCTTTACAATCCAGATTTTATACCTCAGGTGGATTGCTAATAATCCTAAATGTTAAATGTGTTTTTACTATAATTGTCTTGAAGCAAATCTTTGAGATGCAAGCTATTTTTAAAGTTTGTAATTTGATGATTAAGGAGGACTAAATGATAAATGATAAAAGAGGTTATTTGGAAACATATATTTTACTATTTTCTTCTATATTTTTTTGGTATGTTTATTTTTGTGCTATTGATGGACGATTTGTCTAAACACTGAGGATATATTTTGGTATTTCTACACGGTCATATGAAGTTGATATGTGGAGCCATTCCTGAATGTTTAAATAGTCTGAATCCCAGGTTATAATGTGAGTGTCTTGAAATAGTTGATCTCTTAAAATGAGACCAAAAGGGGGATTTGTAGAGTTATATTTGTATTTATTCATGTTAGCAAACTATGGATAAGCTTAAAATGGGAATAATTTGGGTGGAACTGTGAGCTGGATGTGGGGCCTGTTTGACATATGTTTTTGAGGACAAAGGAAGATGGGGGAAGGTGAGAGCATGTCTTGAGTTGCATTCAATTTAGATCTAGCTACAGTGATTGGGGAAGCCTAAGGTCTAAGGTGTCTGTGATATTTGGGGCGGCCAATCAATGATGTCCGAATGGGAGGATCTGATAACTCCTCCCATTGTCACAGAGTAGAAACACAGGCGGTGTTCAGCCTCTTTCCTCTGGCTGGCTCACGTGCAGGTAAATTCGGGATCCCAAAGATTAACTGTATTGAATTTGTACTGTATTGATTGTATTATTTTGTCATATTACCATTAAAGTAGATATTGTTTACTTGGTGGCACTGGATTTCTTCCTGTATTATAACCAGCTTCATAGGAACGCGCGGAGATTTGAAAAGCGGATCAGATATCCCTTTAAATCTCTAACAAAGTGTAAGGTGTTGCATTCAAATATAATTCATCACCGAACTTCCATTAAAAATCCCAATACACTCAGAGTGTTGTTAAGAAATCTCATACTGCTATACTGTACGTACAGTGGAGCTCTCTCGTTTCATGAAGGCATCATCACAGTCAGTCAGGTTCATGTTGAGGAGTGTGAGCTCAGTCTTTCACAACGTTTGAAAACACCTGTGAGAAGAAGAACAAGTGAACAGAATGTAAACAGAGAGCCAGCTTTAATAACACAGAAATATGTTTGCATATTAACTGAAGGACTATATCTACGTGTGTTTCTCTGGTCCTTGCTGTTCCACTCAGGTATCCACATGGCAGTAGGATAACATCTGTGCAGGTTTCCTTATAGAGGCTGTAGATGGAGGTTCAGCCATCAGCCATTCAACAGAATGTGCAGTTGGAGGAGATGGCTGCAGGTTGCTGACAGAGGCTGCAGGTGAAGAGTGAGGCAGCAGTTTGATGCTGAAGCTGCTGGTAGAGGATGTAGGCAACAGAGAGACAGAGGCTGCAGGTGGAGAGGAGTCTGTCATCTCACAGGCTGCAGCTCAAGGCTGATGTTTTGTCTGGTAGAAGTAACAGGTGGAGGCTGGAGGGTGGAGCAGGTGTTCTGGCAGGTGATAACTGTTGCTGTTGAGGCTGAAGCTGGAGTAAGAAGACTGTTAACAGAGGAGCAGGAACTGATTCAGAGGAAGACAATTCATCAGTGGTGAGATACATTAAGATCAATGAAAGTAAACTTAACTCAACTAAATACTAACTCTTAACACTAAATACTTATTCTTAATACTAAATACTTAAACTTATTACTAAATACTTAAACTAAACACTAAATACTTATACTTACTACTAAATACTTACTCTTAACACTAAATACTTAATACTTAATACTTCAACTTAGTACTTAAACAGAAAACTTAAACTAAACACTTACTCTTAACACTTTATACTTATTACTAAATACTTAAAATTAAAGACTTGGCACTTAATACTTGTGCTTGGCACTAAAAACGTAACACTTAATATGAAATACTTCAAACAAATTACTATAACTAAAAACTTAAACTAAACACTTACTCTTAACACTTTAGACTTATACTTATTACTAAATATTTAAAACTAAAGACTTAGCACATAATACTTATGCTTGGCACTAAAAACGTATCTCTACACTTAATAAACTTAAACTTATCTGCCATACTTTAAAAAAAACTAAACTAAACTTAAAGCACAGTATTATTAGACATGTCAGCTTATGAGAGTGTGTCTTAGTGCTTTGCCCTTTTTGCTGGTGGATATTCGGGCTCTGGTTCACCAGAAACATCCACGTTGTAGAGCGGAGGCTGGACTCCAGCACCGTAGGACACGTCCACATGAACCAGACCGTCTTCATCCACTGTCTCTGTGAACATCGGACGGTCCAGTCGCTCCCACAGCTTCTGCTTGATACGACGACCCAGACCCAAACTATATGGACGCAGGCGACCGTCCGGGAACCTGAGAGGAGAAACACAAAAATAAATCTTTATGATGAAGGAAAATAGAGAGATAGATTTCTAAGAGAGTGGAAACTCTGTAAATGAACTGACTCATTTGTGACGCAACGTACCTCAGCATGTTATCCACAACTTCATGGTAGATGAGCTGGTACTCCTCGACTGAGCGGTTGTGGATCCTAATAGGGTCTTCGAGGTGCAGGGGAGCATTGGAGGTCCGGGGGCTGGAGGCCACATTAGAGACAGGTGGCAGGTCAGCAGGTTTAGGAGGAAGAGCCGCGGAGGTCTGCTTCCTTTTCTGGGGAAGGTCTGCAGAAGCAGCAGGGCGCCGGCGCTTTGTATGTGGCACCTGGAGAAGGTCAGCAAAACACGAGAGGATGTCAGACTCTAGTAAACTTCTTACTTAACAACATACTTTTATCATTTTACAAGAGGAAACATCTACATCAGATGCAGAGGATTACTTGAAATGTGAGTATTTGGGGCATTAGTCCTGTACAATGGACCTTCTCAAACTATTTAGTATTGACAATATACTCCACTATGTGTTTACCTTTTTGTAAACCTGTCAAACAATCTTGTGGATTAAACTGTGTACAATTTCAAGGAACAGAGTTGAGGATCAGATGTCTCACCTGGTCGTCCCTGCAGCAGGGACACTGTCTGCAGACTGCAGGCCTCCTCTGGCGGGCAGAGACTCTCCTTCCTGTCTGGTTGTCCTGCGGGAGGACGGGCACTCGACCCTGCAACAACACACACTCATGTTAGGATGAGGCTCTACAAGTACATGCAGGATGGACCTTTTTCAAGTATGTTGTCATGTCGTAGTATACAAATCAAATGTGTTATAGTTTTATGTGCTGGAAGATTAACTTGCCAAAGATGGATGTGGTTGTTGGATAAAAATCATAAATGAAGAAACATGAAACATAATCAAAGTCTGAAAACCTCCTCAAGACGAGACAGGTCCGGTAACAAAACAAGAGCCACCTTTAGGCCCTCATGTCAGTTAATATTGTGCTTTAGTGACACATATGTGACGTGATTACAATGTTATATAATAAGCATATGTCTGTTTATTGTTTGAACATATAATATTGCACATGTATATGATGGAAATAATGCTAAGTTAAAGTGAGTGACTTTAATTAGCTTGATTCAAAGTTACAATATGAATGTATTTCAGCTTGAAGCTGGGTGATATAGCCTAAAAAGTTAATATAAATGATTTGTATTAGATACAACATTTATTTGTTAATATTGTCATATAGCCTAGTTTTGATGAATGCATGTGTATTTTTGGTAGTTTTTAATGCAAAGATGTATTAATTGAGTCGTCACAGTATACTTGACCTTAATCTGATAGTTACACTGTTTAATGGTAGGCCTACTTATCGTTACAGGAGACTAAATGATTTGATAAACATCAGTAAACTGTGAGGTTTCTGAAAATGTCGACGGCAAAGCACATTGGAAACAACGGGGACTTTCAACGTTATGAAATCTTACATTTTCCATAATTAAAGTGTGTTTTCTCGCTGTAATAACTCTCAGGGGTTCTCTGACTCTTGTCGGGATGTAAAAAGACTTGAGAAGAAGCGATAATTTGGCAGAATCGTCGAGTGAAAGCGGAGAAAATATTTTCGTGACCGTCTTCAGGTAGTTTTCAGGTTGTTATGGTTTAAATATTGATCCGATATTGACGCTAGTCCTGCGTCAAACCATAGCAACCATGGAATCCTCTACGTCCATTTTGTAAACATAAATATTGAATCTGTAGATATATAACTGGTATTAAACTGGAAATGTATAACACGCAGCTTTCAGTTTGCTAGCTTAGAGATAAATCACAATGTGCAGCAGAGACAAATATCAATACATGGTTTATCGTTATCTTGAACCTAAAGACGAAACCTCTATGGAAAGAAATTATGAAAACACTTGTTATTGAACTATTAGTGGTTGGCCTACGTACCTGTTGATGTTGTTGTTGGTCTGATCATTACTCAAATACAGCAAGTTGAGCTAATGAAACATCTGATCTCAAATGTAAAGTACAATCAGCCTGAGATGAAGTCCATGTCTTCATATGAATTTACAGATCTGAATGCTTCCAGTGTCTGATATAAAACGTGTTTAACTATAAATATATAAATGCTTACGTGCTGTGATTTCATTGCAATCATCATGTAAAATATAAACTAGACTTTGTTTATATTTTCCTCTGAGTGAACCATACTGTGGCAACTGGACACAAGGACCTGTGTTTTGTTAAGTAGAACATTAAAGACAGAGTTTGTCTCTTTCATGATTGTTTTTTTGACAAAAGTTTCATGTGAAGATTTACACTAATTTAATCTCTGTACATTGCCTTTTTTTGATATCACAGGGCAGGGCTCTTCCTGGGTGTATGGCCTTCCTGAAGTGGGACAGGAGACAACAAGAACAACACAACCAGTGTGATCCACAGCGGTCAACACCTAGCACCCCATTATATACACGTGATTGCTTTGATATTGAATTCAATGAAAACACCTCTATTAAATAATCCTGTGTTCTGTGACATACTTTACCCTCAGTGATGTGTTCAAGCCGAACTACTTCCAAACAATGTTGTCACCAGGAATCTGTTTCAACTGAAAGTATTTGTAACAACAAACAAATGTAATTCCTTCTCCATCACACAAACAGAAACAAGAAAATATGTGTCCAGAGGGTGGCGCCAGAGGACAGGCTGAGTTACTAAAGACCAAATGGTTTATCCTGTGAAGGAGCTATACACCAACTTTCACTGTAGTCAGTTTGCAAACATTTAAAAAATAAAATGATTATCAATCTTGTAGTTCACAATAAAAATGAATGTATCTACAAACAAAAACGTTTTAAAAACGTATTTAAAATGGGATGTCAACTTGTGAGTGTGGTACAATTGGTGCCACACTGCTGATATATTAACTATTACTTCCATGGACAGTCGATTCAAAAATGATGTGCTGGTTATAGCAAGGGGTTATATTATGGCATTTTGTTTTAATCATCCTTCAAGATAAAACCAGTATAAGTAAATAATGAAATAAAGACAATGATCATTTTTAAAGAGCATACATTTATTTTTTCAAAAGGTAACTCCTGTAAAAGGTAATTATACAAACATCTAAAAATGAACAATGAATGCAAATCAAGAATCTGGCTCTTTCCAGAGAAACTTAAGAAACAATACCTGGCTTGATCAAAACAGCTGCCACTGAATTGCACTTTATTACCGTCTTTAATACTATTAATAGTAGGTACAAATGTACAAAAGTCTTACAAAGAAATAAAAACAGTATAGAGCATGAGAAACAGACTTACATTTCAACACTGCCAGACTGAAAGGTTGTTCCACAAGCAAACTGACCCCCTATTCCATCATTCTTAAAACATGGCAAATAAAAATCAACACAAAATCCTGGTTCCCTAGTTAGGGATTACTCTTTTAAATCCATCCATCCTGAGGGAGGGGGGGGGGGGGGCATGGACCAAATTCCAAGCCAATCTATTCAATAATTGTCAAAATGTGTCACTAAAAACAGAAATGGTCAACCTCATAGTGACAGAGGAAGGGGATCTACCCATCCCTCTGGGGTTCAGCACTGTCCATCAAATAGTTGAGCCAAACTGTTGGCAGGCTAAACAATTATTGATATTGAACCTGCACATGTACATTGGAGTTGTAACTAGTAATTGACCAATCAATAGGTGCATCCAGAGAAAAAAATACCAACTTCTTTGATTATTGATGTATCCTTTAAGTAATTATCCATGGAAAAAATGCCAGAAAATGCAGTTTTTAGATCTTGGCTTTTCTCTGTTAAATATTATATTAAAGTCAACATCTTTGGGTTTGGACCATAGGTTTGGACTCAACAAAACATTGAATCACTTGGACTTTGAGTCTTTTGAGGTTGTTCCTTTTTTATTATTTTTGGACAATTTATTGAACAAACAGTTTATCGTAAAAGTAATCTGCAGATTACTAATTAAAATAATAATTAGTTGCAGCCCTAATATAAACACTTAAATACTGTGTTCAAGTGTGGACACTACACTTTCTTTCCCCAAACCATCTCCATCTTCGCCACATGGGCCTTGGATGATTTGGAGAAGGTGCTTTTAACCACGTTGAGAGGAGCAGATTTACCGCTGAGGTAGACCTTATTGAGACACGAAGGAACCCAGGACTCCTCTTCCTCCTCCTTCCCTACAGCTTCCACTCCTTTCTTCTTGTTCAGGGTACATGAATGGGCAAAAATGTATCCCGTCATAAAGGCGTCGAACCCGGCACGGTGCGATCCTGAGTCGGCGTTCTTCTTCTGCTCAGTCTTGGACGATTTCTCGCTTAATTTTTCACTTCCTCCATCTTTTGTTCTGCTTTCTTCACCACCATTTGTGTTGGTTTTTGCGTTGTCATCAGTAGTGGGTGTTATTTCAAGTGTGTTGTCTTGGCTCACTCCGTTCCCCTCGATGTCTGTTTTCTCTCGTTCATTCTGTTGGGTGTCCATTAGAGACCCTTTTTCTGAGGATGACTCGGCCCCTTGCTTCTCATCTGGCGTTTCTTGCAGATCCACCGCCATGTGGGGGATTTTGTGTTGAGGGGCACCGTCTTCCGCTGCCTCGCCTTTACCTTTCCTTTTTTCTTTATGTCTCTTCCTCTTAGGCGGTGGCTGCAGGAGAAACTGGTGGTGGTTGCTGAGATGGGCTGGGGCACTCTTAGTTCTGGCGATGAGCAGGAGGGGTGGTGAAGGTGGAGGATGTGGAGGAGGAGGAAGCATCTCTGGAACAGAGCTGTTGTAAAAGGAGTTGTCCTCAGGGCCCTGAAGCAGCTCCTGGTAGATCTGGAAGTGTAAGGTGTTGCATTCAAATATAATTCATCACCGAACTTCCATTAAAAATCCCAATACACTCAGAGTGTTGTTAAGAAATATCATACTGCTATACTGTACGTACAGTGGAGCTCTCTCGTTTCATGAAGGCATCATCACAGTCAGTCAGGTTCATGTTGAGGAGTGTGAGCTCAGTCTTTCACAACGTTTGAAAACACCTGTGAGAAGAAGAACAAGTGAACAGAATGTAAACAGAGAGCCAGCTTTAATAACACAGAAATATGTTTGCATATTAACTGAAGGACTATATCTGCGTGTGTTTCTCTGGTCCTTGCTGTTCCACTCAGGTCTCCACATGGCAGTAGGATAACATCTGTGCAGGTTTCCTTATAGAGGCTGTAGGTGGAGGTTTGGCCACAGCTTTCTGTGGGGATCTTCAGGGGGAGTGGTCTTCTTCAGGTGGCTGAAGGTGGAGGTTTGACCGCAGTGATCTGTCAGAGGGCATGGCGTATATAGAGGATAAGAAATATATCCACAGAGACCTGAGAGCAGCCAATGTCCTGGTGTCAGAGAGTCTGCTCTGCAAAATCGCTGACTTTGGACTGGCAAGAGTTATAGAGGACGACGAATACTCTGCCAGAGAGGGTATACTTTTTCTGTTTGAATGTCCATTGTTATTTTTCAGTATTTAGCTGACTCCCAGGGGGATACTTTTGAAAAACCTAAAATAAAAATCGAAGTAGAATTGATGAACTATGTGTGTTTCAAGAGCCAGACTTTTGGTTTCAGTTGCCAGTTCCTCTACTTTTTCAAGCTAAAATAAACCACTCAGTGACCAACATAGGTTTAAACCATTCTTTCTCCTTTCATACTAACACCAGTCTAGTGTGTGAAAATGTATCTATGTGTCATCATAAACCTGATGATTACTGACCTGGAACCAGGAAACACTGAAACTCCCTTCATAGGAACATTACAAATAAACGCAGGTTTTTATTCTGACCTTCATTTACATATTCCATTGCAGTATGGGTCATACACGTGGAAATATGGAGTTTTTTTCCATTCAGCAGATGAATTTGATTTGAATTTAGATACTAAATTAACGGCATATTTAATGTTTTTCAGTGTCAGTTTCCTGAACATACAAGAGCCACCATTCACAGGCTTTTACTGTAAGCAGAATTAATGGCGTTTATTAGTTGTGACCTTTAGCATAGATTTGCAGTTTTATGGCCATACTCTACCAACTCCTTGGCCTAGTAGGCTATGACTGTCTATCACTAAGCTGATCAGTGCAGTAAGGTTAAAACATTTTCAGATGTAAACAACTAATGGCAAAAGCAATTATGATGAGAGCAAATCATTTGGCATTTCAAATATTTTTTTATTTCAGTGACATCTTATGCACTTATCTGCAAAAAACGATTTTACACACATTGATAGTGTAACTTCATGTGTTTTGCATTTTGTAACAACAATTTTCATAGAAAATTCAGTAATGATTGGTTATGGAAGATTAAAAAGATACAATTTAATCTTGCCAAAATTGTCTTACTGGATTAATGGTCAATGGTTTTGAAGAGTTTGATTTTCTCCTACAGTATGTTCATGGTAGCACAAAAGCCACTGAGCCAATGATCATGTCAAGCAGCTGGTTTTGTTAGATACTAAATGAACGGCATATTTAATGTTTTTTACCATGTCATGCTCAGGAGCCAAATTCCCCATCAAGTGGACGGCTCCAGAGGCCATCAACTAGTGTTGAGATCTTCATATGAAGTGAATACTTAAAACGAAAGTTAATTGAGATCATGGTATGAAGTGAATACTTAAAAAACGAAAGTTAATTATAAATCATACATGATCAATCATATTCTTGTATAAACCCATAATGAGAATGCTTCTTGACGGTTTTTGAATATGTATCTATGCTTACAATTTTTTCTGTTGTTATTTTGATAACTTTGCGTTTTGAAAAGAGGGTGTTGTGAGTTTTCATAGTATGTTTAATACTTAAAAACGAAAGTTAGTTATAATCAAATATAATCAATTATATTATTGTATAACCCACAATGAAAATGCTTCATATTTTAGGTTTTCTATAGTTACAGTATAAACAAAACAAAGTGGTATGTTTAGGTTGAGTTTTCTTCCTCTCCTCTGGCAGCAGTCCACAGGGGGGGGGGGGGCTTCACACTAAGGAGACACATTAAGAGGCCAAAGAGAGTTCATGTCCTTTTCACCCTAACATGAGAGGAGGAGTTTTGTTTTTTTGGGTTTTCGATCCAGTTTTTTTAGCATAAAGAGACTGGTTTTTTGAGAGAGCGCGAGAGAGGGGGGGTGACCCCTGGTAGACTCTCTCCCGGTAGGCTGTGTGCTTCAGAGCTGGGTAACTAGCTCTCGGTATTGGTTCTGTCAGAACGGGGTAAATATCTCTCGATTTTCTTGGTTCAAACCGGAGAGACGTGATGTAAGAATTACATATTTATTGTTTACACGTCATATGAATGAAATGATTGCCATGATAATACAACAGGAGAATGTAATGGTGTTTGGCGATTAGGCCCCGGTTTGCAGGATAATCATTCAGGAGGGAAAGCACCGCTCCGATGAAATCCCCGGGGTCTAGACACTGGTGGTGGTGGTGATGAGTAGGTGAGACCGGTCTGAAGGAGGAAGGTTTAGCTTTGTCCTGAAGGAGACAGGAGGCGAGAGGGGTGGAGGCGGGTTGCGTGTGATCATCTGCAATGACAACTGACAGGGAGGAAGAGCAGGCATTTAAGGCATTTAGCATGTGCAGCGATTGGCTGCTGAGGGGTGACGCCCTCGTATTTAATGAGGGGGGAAGGGAGCCATAGAGTGACGTGTGAGTGACTCGAGTTAGGTCTTCCTTATTGAACTTGCGCTAAAGCTTTCATTTCAAACCGGAGAGACGTGATGTAAGAATTACATATTTATTGTTTACACGTCATATGAATGAAATGATTGCCATGATAATACAACAGGAGAATGTAATGGTGTTTGGCGATTAGGCCCCGGTTTGCAGGATAATCATTCAGGAGGGAAAGCACCGCTCCGATGAAATCCCCAAAACCAGTGAAGTATGAATACTGAGATGAACTGAGTTGCTTACCTTGTGGGGTGACTGGTGATCTGGGAAGGAGAGATAATAGATTAACACGTATATGAGCGACACTGTGCCGGAATCACTGCCGGAGCTTACTGGTCATGC